TATGAAGTGTGATGGTGTTTGAATATCTTGTTGAGTGAGGTTCCTAGTTCCATTAAGGTTTTCATTGTGTATGACGGTCGAATTTAAACTGTTATTTCGCGTATCAGGTAAAAATGTATTGTAGTTTAATGGTGTTGCATCAATGGATAATGGTATTACCCTTACATAATCTCTTACATAAGATATTGTACTTATTGCCTGACTTGAGATTGATTGTGGGATATTTATGAATGCATAATGACACCATTCGCGGTCCCAAACGTAGTCTGATTGTTCTGTGATGGCGGTATCATCGTTTGAATTTTGAGGTCTGAAATTTTTTCTTGCTTGTGAAATTAAATCTATATTATGTGTGAAAAAATCTATTATAAACCATGCCAAAATTTTTTGTAAGTCATGTTTTGTATGTTGTGAAACTTCATCTTTAGTGAAATTTTCTTTAATTATATGTAGAAAAGTTGAAAATAGTGTGATTTCATGTCGTACCTTTATATGTTTGGATGTCTCATTCGGTGAGATATGCGGGATTGGGTTTTCGTTTTCTATTGAAATATGACTATATATTATTGCAAAAACTTCATTAGTAAATATGGAGTTTGCTCTTTGTGAGTTATGATATTGTATGCTTTTTATATATTCTGAGAATACTTTTGAAAATTCTAAATCAAGATCGTCTGTTTGAATTACATATTTGCGGTGATTCGGGTTTGGTGAGCTGAATTCTATGGTGTAGATTCCGTATTGTTGTGTTAAGTTACATATATCTTTCAGATAGTGATCAATGATCTGTATTTTTATTTTTACATCTGGGAACTCTGTTTTTCATGGGCTAATTCCGGGTTCAAACAAATTTAGAAGAAAATTCTTACAAAGATCATGTTGTCCTCTATTATCGGGTGCATCTACGAGGAAGGGGTAGATATCGTCATCATCTGGACTATCTTCACTTGGAGTGTGTGTTTGGCTCATTTTTTCGTTTAATGACTGTTAATAGGTAATTATCGATGTGTCTAATTGGTTGATTCCAATTATACAAGTGTACTGGTTTGTGTTTATATTGCTTTTTTATTCTTCTTTTTCCTCTTTTTAAAGAATTTGAAGTTGTTTCTGAGTCGGAAAAATATAATTGATCGTGAATGGGACAATTTTTATCAATGGATTCTTTTAATTTATAAAGTTCGTCTAAATTGCTGACTTCTGATTCTGAGAATGCGTTTCTATTTTTGGAAAATCTTTTTCGTGTTATTTGTCTTTGTTTAGTTATTATTTTCCTTTTTAGTGTTTGTCGTTTTGTTCTGATATATCCAACTGTTTGTGTGTGTGGTGTGATTACAAGGTCGTATTTTTTGTTATCTATTTCACAGTTGTGCAAAACGATTGTTTGTTTGTTTCCTAGATTTTTAAATGACATAAGGTTTAGGATGACGGATGCAAAAAGTTGTTAGATGATTTCTAATTTCTTCAACTGTTAGTCCTTACGATTTTTTGGTTAGCTTAACCTGGGTCTATTTATTTAGGGTTGGAGAGAAAAGTATATCGATTCCGAAGAATGATTTTTTACTTTCTCGTGGCTAGTATAAGCTAAGGTGTTAACTTACTTAATCTTACTTAGGGGTAGTGATTGTGTTCAAGGGTTGGAGAATAGTAAATCGATCCACAACGTTCAGGTATAATTAGAACGCGAGTAGTTCGTTAGGTACTATTTTAAACTTACTAAGTCTAAGATTTATCCTGGGTCTGGTAAGAGGGGGGATCAAGTGAAGGATGAATAACCGAAGTTCTTCACTGTTTATTCTAATTTGAATGATTAGTTTTGTTTAAAAATTTCTATTAGTCTTGGGTTTTTTGAAAGGGTTGGATAGTGAATCGACGTTTGAGGTCGTTAGACACTAGCTAAGTGGGTGGGGGAGAACAAAATTGTTCTTTTTGATCCAAGGATAGGCCTTGATGATCAAGTTTTAAATTTAATTAAATAGAAATATTAATTTAGATCCAAGGATAAGCCTTGATGATCTGATTTTAAAATTAAGTGAATTTAAGTTTAAAATGGTTTAAATTGTTTAAAAATTTTAGTTTTTTAATGATATAAGTGAGCTTATGATTGCTGTTATGTTTAGGTGATGAAGCTGGGACTACAAATGATTTTTATGATTACTAACAATTTATTGTCATGCTACTAATTTTTGTTTTGTTTTTTCAATAAAAATTTTCCAAACATGTTTTATATAATACTGCAGAATATAGGAAAACGATCTGAGATCTTTTTATTAATCGTTATTGTATATTAATAATTTTGTTTAGCGCCTGAAATGATCATGAAGATTGACTTCAAGATTTTATGTTTGCAAATGAAAATCTAAATTCATTGCTAATAAGATTCTAAATATAAAAATTTGTGTTGGCTTTTGCCGTACTATCATATAACTATTTGGTAAGTTTCTACTTTGTCGTATGTCGTCTCTGGTTCGAGGTCTTCTTCCAATTCCGGGTAGTTCTATTATCGTTCGGAATATTGGCTCTGATCTATTGAGTCGTAGACATTTCGATTAAATTATTGTCGTATAACATTTTGAAAATGTTTTGTCTAACTTCTAATCTATTTTTGGTTAATTCTAAGCTATTAAGGTCTTGTTCGAGACTTATGGTCGCACCAGATGAGTTAGGTCCGATGTGGTTAACTCATAGAGTAATTTCGGATAGGGTACACCGTCTGCTCGTCACGCTATCTTATTTTCGGCCGGATAGATTCGTGCAACTTCTTAGTCTAATACCGATCCTAATCTTACTCTTATACTATCTAGTCTCAGGTTGTTTAACTAGTCTCTGCTAGGCTCAATAGATCTAGGGTATACTGGTTTATTGCGGCTGCTGAAGTTCTCTTGGAGAGACAACTAATTTCTAAGTTAAATTCAAATCTCTCTGGTGCTGAAATTACAAGTAATTTCAGCACTTACAAATAAGTGGGTTGTTAGTTAGATGGATCATGATTGGTTAATATTAAATACTTTACAGTGGTAAAATATCTAATTTATCCAATCATAAAATGTAGTTTAGATCAGGTTCCAGTAAGTTTCTCCAGCCCTCTTTGGGGCTCATCTTATAGATACAAGACACTTTTCAGGTTTTAATGATTACTTGAGTAATAAAAAAGAACAAGTTTCAAGAAAAAATATGCCGAAACTGATAAAAATGGAATGGTTCATGGAGTCAGAATGGCGACTGAAATGAGTTTAATTTCACATCCAACCCATTCCCTCTGGTGTTATGCGAGGTCATTGAAGAAAGAAAGTTGAAATAAGAAAGTTTTGATCTTGATAAGAGCCGTTAAGAAATGGCATGTCACCAGAGACTCGCAATAAAAAATGTGCAACCACGTCAATTATGAAATCTTTGTTATTCTAAAAACGGCTCTGAAGGACTTCAAGGAGCAAAAGCCATTAAGGGCAAAAGATTAGGTTATCTCATCTGTAAATGATACCAATAAATCAATTGAAAAAATACTCCTTTTCTATTTTTCTATCAAAATAATAACCTAGCCAGGTTCGCCGGTGGCTGCGCAAATAGCTAAGAAAGTTACGACCACAAAAAAAAAACAAAAGAAAAACAGTTTTTGTTAATTGCTTAGTTTATTTGTTAGTGTCATAAGAAAAAGTGAAGAAGCCTAAAGTTTGGGCATATTCGATACCAATGGTAGACAAGGCAAACTCGACAACAGTTTTTCTCAAAAATAACAGAAGAGAAAGCAAAAAATCTAATATTTTTAAAAACTTATTAAGAAATCCGTTATTTGATCAAAAGTTTTGCAGAGCATATTTTTGATTTTTGGGAAAGTTTTTATTTCCAAAGAGGCGCTAAAAGAAACTTTCGACGATTAATTTTACTCGGGCAAAATCAAGTCTTGCCAGCCTAAATTAAATCTTATTGCCCTTTTATAAGCCCGCTTGCTCGCTTTATTCGATCGAAGTTAGACTGAAAACCAAAACATTCACAACGAATTTTCTCGACAAAGTGAAACTTTTTTGGACTTTTAAATAACTTCAATCGAAACACGACTAAAAGATCTTTAGTATGATATATCACCCGAGCAATTAAGATGACTTCTTGCTGCACCTGATTTTGTGTGGAAAAAACTCAGAAAAGTCTTTCAGTAGTCAGAGCAACTGGGAACGCCGATGGCTGCGCCAAATAATCTATGTAAACCAATTAAGAACTATAAAAATTAAAAAATTAAATAAAAAAAAAGATATATTTTTTCAAGTAGCAGGAAAGAATGGAATGAAGCTAGACGTTTTTTTTTCAAAATCTGAATCACAACTGTTGGGGAGCGGTGGTGAGGGGAGCGGTGGTGAAGTGGTTACGTCTCCGCCTCTCAATCGAAAGGTCGGATGTTCGAGGCCCACAATGATCCGTGCTCGTTGCCTGAGGGTCAGGCAACATTACCCAGCCCAGAAAAATAACCAAAAAAATTGCATGTAGTTCTTAAACAGAGGCACAACAGCGGTTCGCCGTGATGAGCTGTACAGCTCTTGTGTTGGTCCTTTCCCCGTGGATAAATGGTCTTAATTAATTAATAAACTGGGAGTTCTGAGTAAAAAAACGCCGTTTCTGCGGATTTTGTTGAAAAACCAGACCCATGCCATTAGGCCTTCCTACCCTTGGGGTGGTCGGAACCAAAACAAATATAAGAAGGTTCAACAAAACCTACTCAAACCATGTCTGAAGTCGAAGAAAAAAATTAGATGAGCGTTATCGACAAGTTAAATGTTTCTCCATTCTACAAAATAAATGTTTCTCCAAGTTAGAACTTAGCGGTTTAGGACATCTTCTTTCAATTGTTTGAGTAAAGTGTAGCTTTTATTTTGATACCAACGCTTGTTGATGTACAATATTCATTGTGATGTCTGATTTTGTAAAGAGAACGAAGCTTGGTCTTAGTTTTTCCAACATCTAGGGGGTGGTCTGAACAAACAGAAAGTGAAACAGTAGACATTGAAAACTACCTGAGGAATTTCTTTCATATCAGCTGCTTGCCATCGTTTTGTGATCTCTTCGAACCTCTCTAGGGCAGTTTTAGCTTCTGCCTCTAATCGCTCTGCCCTCGATCTATTGTTGTCATTAATTTCCTTTCGCCTTAAATGCTCTCTTTCATCAGCCGCAACTTTTATATTATCTACTAAATTTGACCCGTCTTTTTTCAGCTTGTCAACTCTGTCCTTGCTAGCTTTCATCTGCTTTCGAGACTTCGACAACTCTTGTTTTGTGGTCTTTGAGTCAAGAGAGTCCTCACCCATTGCAGCCTTGCGTTGCTGCTCGAGGCGCTTCTTGATTCTGTTTCGCCTAGCCATAATACGTTCTTCTGGGTCAGCTGACTCCACAGATGGACCAGTGACCTCCTCTGTTTCTTCGAGTGATTCGTTCATAGCGCCGTAATCTGAAATTAAGATTAGTTTTTGCTCATTTGTCCGAGAAATGTGAGCTGCTATGAATCCGTAATTCCTTAATTAATCGACAAACTGCTTAAGATACTTTGAGTTTGTATAGCTACCTTCCTTTCAAGTTTTCAAAAAAAAATCGAAGTGGTTTTTCTATGCTCGAATTGTGATTATCTGGATAACAATCAAGATGAGAGTTTCTATAGCATCTGTTTATTATGAATGCCCTTATTTTGAATTGAAAAACATTTCGCCCAAAATCGTTTTTCAAATCTTATCGGTGCTTTCTATAAACATAGGCTTACTTTTTTAACTTAAAGAGGTATGATACATTTTCATAGGCGTTTATTCGTGAAAATACAGAGCTTTACGAACCCTTTCAAACCATCATAAATTTATAGGCATTCCTAAATCAAATTGAGTTCGATGTCAGCTAAAGTGTTAAAATAATGTGTGACAAGTCCTAAAAACCTAAACAATCCAATCATAAAAAGGCCGGATCTCCCGTCACGACAGACTACGGGACATTATTTTCAATGCTACCTCGGCTGCCTCTTTAGCCCCCATCAAGGAGCAACGGAACCTCATCCCTGGAGAACGGTCCAAACCCGGCGATATTTTTATCCCTACTTGGAGCGCTGGTCGCCCAGCTGCTTTCGACGTCACCGTGACATCCCCGCTGCAGTTATCTCTTCTCTCTCGTGCGGCGGAGACCCCCGGGGCGTCCCTGGAAGTTGCTGAGGACCGCTAATTTTCGAAACACGAGAAAAACTGTGAGGAACAAGGAATCAGTTTTTTCCCGTTAGCAGTCGAAACGCTCGGGGGTTGGTCCGCTTTAGCTATCAAAACCCTCAAGTCAGTTGCTATCCTCGCTGATGCCAGACGTTCTGGTTCACGTGACGCTCGTGTTGCCCCAGTTCGCCTTCTCCAGAGCCTCTCAGTGTGCCTCATGAGAGGAAACGCCACTATGATTGTCAGCCGGGCCATCTAGTCTTGTGCAGTTTATTACGTTTTTTGCATTCCCAATTCTGGTGCTCCTTTGTTCCTTTGCTGTTAGCGCATTCCCCCTCTCTTTTCAATCCTCAATGATTCATCCCACACTTGTTGTTTGTTTTGTATATGTCTGCCATAGGTTTTATCTTTATTATTGGGATTCAGTAATTGTAAAAAATCATAAAAAAATTTAAAGTTAAGAAAGAAATATATTATATGCAAATCATTCATCTAATAAAAACGTAAGAAGATTTGAAACGCAGCATTTAGAAAAAAAAAATTATAATAAGTTCAAGAGAATTATATTCCGATACACCAAAAAAAATGAACAGCTTCATTCGTTAAAGTTCAATATCCAAAATAAAACGTACATCGCTAAACTAAATTTGGATGATACTTTTTTTCTTTAGTTTAACCTCATAAAGTACTCAGAAGGTCGAAAGTATCATAGTACCCGAGGTTACAGTCAGGAGTCCCTTCATCACATTATCCAGTCAAAATCCTCGGTATTTTTTAGAGATGGAAGAGTAAAGTATAATATGGATATAAGTAAAGAGAGTTAGATGGTTGGGAATCAAGCCAACCAGATTGAGAAAACTAACGCCTGCACAGAATAAACCGGAGTTGAAAGTGGCTCAAAAAGACTAGCTTGATATGAGGCTACGGGGCTATCGTATACTTAGGTGAAGCTGCGCTTTTGTTCCCTTGGCTCTATAAATAAAAAAAAATCCTTCGAAAGTAGTTTTATCATTAATAGTGCCGAGTACACAGGCAGCGTTCGCAACCTGTATTGCGAGGGAGATTCTTTGCTTAAGAAAACTACCTACCCTGGATTTCTCGGAACACGTTCACAAGTTCTTAGAAGCTCATTCAGAAAAATTTCGGTACTAGGGCCGGCGGCACCCTGAACTTCAAAAGCTATTGGTTGAAAAATATATCCACAATAATAAAATCTCAATATTTGTCAGATTTTCTATCTTACGCCTCGGCCGTTCCGGGGTTACAAACCGAGCCTCCGCATATTCTACTAGGGGCTAGGGAGTCAACTACCGTTTTATCCCACAGAATTTTTAATCTGAAATGTTTCTGACTCAACAAACTTCGCCAGATTTTTGAAATGAAAAATTTATAAGCAAACTAGTTTTCAAAGGTATAACATGCAAAATGCATGTGGGACCTGTCTAGCAAAGTTGCTTTTTCGAGGGATACTTTATCATTGATGTACCATTTAGGTTAAGATAATAGTGGGAAAACAGATTAATTGAGAGGATCAGTTGAAAAAGTCAAATGCCAAAGTTTTTTTCTACCTTCAAGACCATTATGAAAACAAATATCCTAAAAGGTAGAGTAAACAACCTTTAAAATGTTTTTTAAAACAAAATAAAAGCACTTGCAATAACATATACTCTCAGAATTTGAGAGTATCTACTTCCGAATACTTCGGATTGTTTTCAGAAAAAATTGGAGAACACATATGATACTTTGCTCTTCAATTCAGCTCTAATGAAAAACAGCCTTTGTGAAATTAATCTCACATGATTTGATATTCGACTGACCAAATGTTTTTGTAGGAGGACTTTCGTGAAATTTTAACCACGTGACCTATGGCTAAAATCAGAATTGAGTAAAACATGGGCCAGAAGACAAAATTAGAAAAACAAATACTTTCACTTCCACTTTCAGTAGTTTCTTTCGTTTTTTCCATTTTCAAATAATTTATCAAAAAATTAGAACTGACGTTGATTTTTGCGAGAACGTGATTGCGGTGATTCACAAAACGTTAAACAATCTTTTGCAGAATCAAATCTGAAATTAATTTTTTTTTCAAACTCTCATGCGGCAATCCACTGAAAACTTAAATTCGAAATTTCTAAATTATTAAAATAGATCATCGAATACATTTAAAATACCGACAAAAGAGTAAAATACCGAAAAAGAAACAGAAGTCATAAAATGCCTTGTTACCGAAAGAGGTTGGAAATGAAAAAAAAAAAAACGCACGTGCAATATAGTTGATGTTTTTGCCTTCTGATTTCTACATTTTGAAAGAGAAAAATCTAATTTTTTTCAAGTATACCTCCGGGTGAAGGCTTTTTTGCCCCCCATTGAGTAAAACCAAGTCATGAGTCAACAACAACTGACGGAATCTCAGCTACCAATTACTCACGAAGTGCTGATTGAAACGGAGACAAATTTCAGAAATGCGCTAACAGCAAACAAATCGACGACACAAACAAAACAAATCCAAATAATCAAAATCATCCCCCCCATTCTCGAGAGAAATTGTAAGGTCAGCTGAAAATCTGGCGCAGGCATATCGAAGTTGTGCTTCCGATATACTTAAACAATTCCCCACAACAATGCAACAGAAGATGACAATCTCAAAAACAATAACCGTGACGAAAGATGACCGCAAACTTCATACACTGACAGTTATTGCTCCCCCCGAAGCAGAGCAATTCATAACTAGCATCAAAAGCGAAGGAATCATTCTACTTGACAGGACGGTATTTCCCATGGGATGCTTTCCAAGGTCTCATAGACCCAAGAACATTTACCCTAAACTAGCAAAAATCAAATTGTCGAACTTGCCTTATGTATGCAACGATATCGAAGCGAAATCAATTCTCCAATTGCCAGAAGACATAATTCATAGCCCCATATTCCAACGTGAGACCTGTATCGTAACTGAAACGGGTCAGTATGTTTACACAGGAAGAGCAATTTTAGAAGTTAAAATACAAAACGAAGAACAAGAGAAAAAGCTGAAGGACTGGTCTTTTAAATCGAGAATGGATGGCTTCAAAATGTGGGAAGGTGTAGAAATCTCGTTTCACATACCTTCACTACATGAATGTCAAAAATGCAAGATGTCTGGACGCCAAGAAAAAGGTCATCATGATGATTGGTGCAACATAGGGAACCAAATAACCAAAAATCCAAATAATCACTACCCACAAAAACCAAGCTCCAATAATGCCAGCGACGAGAAAATCGATGACGAAACAACAAGCGATAAGTTTTGTAATGGTACCGAAAAAGAAGAAGATAAGAATGTTGAAGCACCAACATCTGGAGTTTTGATTGATGAATCTAAAACAAACAGTGCAGCTACTCCAAGCGAAGAAAAACAAAAGGATGAGGTTCTCAACAACCAGGTCGTAGATTTTCATTCTTACTCTGCAAAAGAAAAAAAAGACAATTTAAATATCGAAAATAACAAACGAAAATGTTCCTCTGACGGAAGAATGCTTACAAAAAGAGAGCGTGAAACTTCACCAACCTCTTGGTCAGTTTTATAACGGAAGAAAGGGCCAAAAATGAAATCTAAAAATAAAGGAGAAGACTTGGTTGGAGGGAAGTTTTAGCAAAAATTTCTATGAGCGAAAAACCAGATATTTTTTCCGTTAATATTTTTAGCATAGGAAATCCAGCTAAATTACACTCACTTATCAAAAAATGCCAAGTTTTAAAAAATCGCCCAGTTTCATTTTGTGCATACAGGAAGCAAAAATATCGAAACTTACAAAGATACATTTGAGTTTACTGGATAAATATAATGTTTTATTCGATTCCATATCGGGCTCAAATAATTCTGGTGGTTTCTTAACGTTATGGTCATCAAACTTGAGTCCTGCAAAAAGAATTGCTTCAAGTACAGGTTTTCAATTGTTAAAGTTTGTCAAACTTGATTGGTTTGTTATCAACGTTCATGCGAACCCTATTTCATTCCGATCAACTTTGAATTCCCTGAAATTAAGCATCAGATTTTTACCTAACAAATCGAAAATTATCATGATGGGTGACTTTAATGCGCTGAGTTATGATAATATTAACAGTTCTTCAATACTTAAGTTAAATGATGCACGTATCAAACGATTTACCCAACTCAAAGAACAAATTCTTGACTGTTTTGGTTTTGTTGATTTTGCACTCAAGAATGATTTTTGTGATTATACACATTATGACAAACAACATAAAACTTTTGCACGCATAGATTATGTTTTCA